AGAGACAGAAAGTTAGAATCCTGTTGAAGAATTATTTCATAATCCACACAGCTGTTAAATAATAGACCTAGGAATTGTACTGGGGATGCTAGAACTGACGACTGTGCCTTAACGCTGTACCATCAGAAATACTGGTTCTGGATTTATCCACTATTAAGAGAAGCCATTTTCCTTTAACACAATTTTCTCATACCAAAGCTCCATTTTCCTGTCTGTTCAGAAGGAGGCATTGTACAATGGAGTTCTACAATTCTTTCTAAGGAAATGGCCAGGCTTTTGGAAGCAAAGCATTTGGGCATGTTGGAAAAATAATACTCTCTCCAAACTCATTTTGTTATTTCTTGGTAATGTTTGTGACTGCCTAGATCAGCCAATGGCTCTCCATTGCCCAGAGAATAAAATCAAAATCTATGAATGTGGCAGAGGAATATCTCCATGGTTTTGTCTCTGCTGTGGCCTCTCACACATTCCCTTCACCATCCATTTTAATCAATAGCTAGTTTGTGTCTTTTATTTATCTGAAGCCTATGTTCTACCACTGACCACATATCGACCACATAGCTTTGCCATTATATGTTTGGAGAAGACTCCTCCCCTGAGCCCCTTCCCCAGTGGATGACTATGTGCTCTCCCTCTCCCTCTCCCTCTCCCTCTCTCTCTCCCTCTCTCTCTCTCTCCATATATATGTACATATATATATATATATATATATATGTCCTTATGTTTTTCCAGATCGTTATTGCTCCTCAGTCAGCCTCCTGCTATATTGATACTTAGTGTTCAGCCAGATAATGTCTATCCCTACTGTCTTATTGACAAACAATAGATAATAAGACTGTAATGGTGGTGTTAGCCATGATGGTGGTAACAGTGATGGCAGCACTGTCAGTGGCAAGAGTAATGGTAATGGCAGTGATGTTAGCAATGGTGCCCATGGCTGTGCTGGTGGTTAGAATAAAGACATTTTCTAACATATACCACATGCTTCCTATGAAGATTTTCCTAAGCCTGTTGTATAACTACACTCAGAGGTTTACATGTACTAATTAAATTAAGTCTACTACAATCCTAGGAGGTGAGCCATCTGGTGTTCTTTTCATAGCTGAGAAAACAGGACAGGTAGCTTTTCACCACCCCAGAGAAAACTCAAGCCAGTGTCCCTAAATACAATGATGGGAAAGAGCTAAGGCCCAGATGTGCCCCAGATTGGTTTTTGGGTGTTAATCTTACTTCCGATACTTGCTTTTCAAAGCTGCCACAACATTTTTAAATAAACCAGATCCCATTCAATTGCTTTCTCTTTTTAAAGTTTAGAGAGACTGAATACAGCTACGAATATGGCCTGGTAAAAATTGTACTTGTAAAACATTTCATGACTCTTTGTGCTTTTTTTTTTTTTTTTTGTAACTCCATTGGGTGGCTCTTGCATGTCAACTTTATAAATGATTATGTTGTGTCATTTCAAAAAGTTGGTTCCCCTATTTAGTCTAACAAGGGGAATCAGGTATGGATATGATCAAAATACATTATATACATGTTTGAAATTCTCAAAGAATAAATTTTAAACAAATATTTTTTTTTTGGTTTTACGAGACGGGGTTTCTCTGTTTGGGAGGCTGTCGGGCCAGCCTGGTCTCGAACTCACAGAGATCCACCTGCCTCTGCCTCCCGAGTGCTGGGATTAAAGGCGTGCACCACCAACGCCCGGCTTAAACAAATATTTTTAAAATTGGATTCAAACAGCTACATAACCAGAGATAGGATTTGTGAAGAGTTTAACATAGATGTATTATCCCTTTTTCATTTTATGTATCTTTTTATTTGTTTTTTGAGACAGAATCACATGTGTTTGAGCTGACCTCAAATTCACTGTGTAGCCAGGGGGGTGGTCTTGAGTGCCTGATTCTCCTGCTTCTGCTTTGGGGAAGCTAGGATTCCAGGCACATGCTACTCTGCTGGACGTGTACATAGCCCGGACTGAACCCAGGAATTCATGCATGCTACACACACATTCTGCCAACTGAACTGAATCCACAGCCCTCCATCATTTTTTTTAATTTTTAAAACAATATAGAGAAAGTTATTCACACTGCATAGATAAGACAAGGAAACTGAGGCAACCGTGGTGAAATGACTCGCTGACTATCACCGAGCTAACCTGTGGCTGAGCTGGGATCTAAAGCACTATTCCCCAAGACGTTGGCATTAATACTAGGAAATGGATAGTAATCCAACAGCCCCTTTCCTTCCTACTGCTTCGGTGTCTGCCACACTCCCCACCCCCACAGAACTCCGTGATTAAGGACCATGTTCCAGCTGCAAATCCCCAGGACTTTCATGCATTCCTGGATCTCTGCCTTTGCAGCCGCTGCCTGCCGCTCTTTCTCTTCTGCATCCAACAGTCAACACAAGCCCCTCCCCCCAAGAAGCTTTCTTAGACAACCATAGACTCACTTAGACACCTCTCTGTGCACTCATACGGTGCTTGCGGCGTACTCGTTGACTCGTTGCTCTTGGCTCCCGTGTCACCCTCTCCAACCTTCTGCTTTTCTCACAGAATCTATTGGATGAAAACTTGGCTTTAAAATATTCTCATCTAACAAGCATGAATTGATTTTAGGTCCTTCAGCTTCCCATACCCCCTTTTCAAAGAAAGCAAGTTTAGAGACAATAGGTAAATTTCCAAGGATGTACAACTCGTTAAAATCTGAACTGGCAGACTAGAGATAGATGGCTCAGTGGATATAAACACCACACAAGACTGGTATTCTGAGTTCAGACACCTGCAACTCACAAAAAAAAACAAAGACGGAGGTGAGGTGAGTGCTTGTAGTCCCAGAACTTCACTGGCAAGATGGGAGGAAACTGGCGAGTCTTCCAGAAGCTCTCTGACAAGCTAGACTAGTATATGCAGCATATCAGGGAAGCAACAAGAGATACTGTGGCTCCCACAAAATGAAACGTAAGGACCAATTTCCAAGATTGTCTTCTGACCTCCATGTATACACCATGGCATGTGATTATGTCACACATAAGCATGTACACAGAGAAATGTCTTATAAACACATACACACATATACAAATGAATTAAAAAATAGGAGCAGATGGACAAGAGAGGTGGCTCAGGGAGTGAGAGCACATGTTGCTCTTGCAGAGCATCTGGGTTTCATTTCCAGGACACACATGGTGACTTACAGTCATCTGTAACACCAGTTCCTGGAGATTCAATGAGCTCTCCTGACATCTCCAAGAACCACGCATGTAGGGTACCATACATACATGCAAACAAAGGAGTCATGCATATAGAGAAGAATATAAATCTAAAAAACAAACAATAAAAATAAGACTAGAATAGGAGTTCAAGCAAGGAAGAATGAGAAATATACTCCTCATGCTTCTCATAGGGGTGAGAAGCAGGCCTGTGAGGAGGGAGGCCTATGAACCATAAAATGGTGAATTCTTGGCTCCTCACAAAATATTCCACCCAAGTGGTGAACTACACAAAGAGGACTCTTTGAAAAGCACCTCATAAATCATGCCCACAAAACGTAATACACAAGTCCACTTCTCTTTCAGCCACCACACAGGTGCCTAGCATAGTCTCCAATTTGTGGGGTCTGTGTTATAAAATGCCTTCTCTCCCAGGGTCTTAAGGGGTCATGGAAAGGAGGGAGACACAGAGACAAAGAGATACAGAGATAGATTTTTCCCAGTCCCCAGGACCCCCAGGGTATCTTAAAGATGCCAGAATGCAGAGAAACGGGTTTCATGTATAGTATGATCTGGGAAACAGATCTTCCTTCTTTCTCTCAGCTTCTGTTTCTTGTCTTTGGTGGGAACAGGACAGGGTAGATAATTTGGTGGTCCTTAGGAGGTCCCTTAAAAGAATATTAGCAAACATCAGGAACAGAGTTTATTGTCCTGACAGATGTGTGGTGCTCTTTCCACCTCATGGGTTGTAGCCCCAGAATGGTGACCAACATCTGATACAACTGCTCCTATAAGAAAGAATTAATAGCAGTACTGTTAGGAAACCTTGGACTAGAGGATCTCAAACATGTCCCCTAGCTCAGACCATGTATCCAGAACTCTCTACTGCTAGAAGAAGATCCCAAGTAAGTTCCAAATGGTGACCACCACTCAGAATAACTCTTGTTTAGATAAATATTCAGTTTTACCTTGGCTCTGACATATCATCACAACGACATATTGGAAGCACACTGTTTGCCAGAGGCTGGACTTGTCTCATCAATGCTCTCAGGAGGTGTATCCAGCCAGTAGGAGTTGAGAGGTAGGATGGAGGACTGCAGAGAAGATTTGATTCATGGACATTCATTTACACTTTGATGAAAGAGAAAGCACAGGAACCTTGACCGCCAAACAGGATGACAAGCACCAAGTACATGGGAGTGACCGAAGCAGAAGGCAGACAGACAGTTGGAGAAGAGACGGATTCAAGAGATCAACTTAATGTTTAACGTTGGTCACATTATTTCATTTTTCAGAGTATGAGTTCCTTACCTCTTAAATGGGAAGGAAAAAACATTCAGGAATAATGTAAATATTTGATAGGATATAAACGTTTTTAAACATATGTGAGGTAGATATCCAATGAATACATAGCACATGGTGTCAAATTCCAGTTATTAGTTTTTGTGAATACTTTTGTCATTACTAAGATAATGTCTGTTGGTCAGAACCCAAAGGCTGATATTATTCTACAAATCACAATGCAAGCAATGCAACTGAAAAGGATAGACCCTAAGGTCATCCTTCTGGAGAAGGAGGGAAGCTTCCATCCTCAGCCAGCGCCTTGAATTTTTAAGGAGAACACCCAACACAGTCCCAGTTAACTCTTGAGTAGTTGTTTAAAGTAGCAAACTAATGTAAAAGTGGGTAATCAAATATAGCTTAGGTAAGACATCTTCCAACATATGTTGACCCTGCTTAAGTCTGCTTCTAACTTCCCCTGATTGTTTCTGTCTCCTTGTGCCCTTTAGGAAGGCACACCTGATCCTGCGGCGGTTGGAGAGGGTCAGCAGCCATTGTTCTAGTCTCTTGCGAAGCGCCTACATCCAGAGCCGTGTGGACACCATACCGTATCTCTTCTGCCGCAGTGAGGAGGTTCGGCCTGCAGGAATGGTGTGGTACAGCATCCTCAAAGATACCAAAATCACATGTGAGGAGAAGATGGTGTCCATGGCCCGAAACACGTATGGAGAGACCAAAGGCCGGTGAGGGAGGGTACTACCCTCCTTGAGTGCAGAGACGCTCTTGGGGGAGCACTGCTTCCATGGATCCTGGGACCTGGGTGGGCTGGGGGACAGCTGAGTGGCCTGGCACATGACACTTGCCAGCAAGGCCAAAGCAAACTGTTTCTCCATGGACAGACAACAGAGAACTTTGTAACCAATGGAATTATTCATTTTTCTCTTTTATTTTTTCTAAGATATTATTTGACTCTATCAAATATCTCTCCTTTTTAAACCTTTTCTTATGGATGGAAGTCATTGTGGAGGCAAGAGCTTTCAGGGGGGAACAAGCAGCTTTTCCTCTTCTTCCTCTTGCCATGGACCCCCAGAAGGAACCCTATGGAGAGACAACCTGACCACTTCCACATTAGCAAGGATGCCCTGGAACTGTTGCAGCAAGGAAGCTTGGGTCTTTAAGGCCTTCTCTCTCTCTCTCCCTTTCCTCCTCATCTTTCTTCCTCCTCTCCTCCCCTCCGCCTCCTTACCTTTTCCTCTCTCTTTCTTTCTCTTCCTTTCTCTCTCTCCCCCCCTCTCTCTTTCCTCTGTCTCCCCAGACATTACTGAGTTTGCAGGCCCACTGCTTCTTTCTGCTACCTGTGGGTCTCTACAGGACTTTCTGTGCATTAAAATTCCTATTGTCTCTCTTCTGGCTTGGGTGATATTTCTTACCAATGAAGTATGGTTGAGAGACCTTTGCCTATTCATTAAACAAACATTCATTAATGAGGAACTGTATGGAAAGTGCAGGATAAACAAAAAAAATACAGAAGTTTTCTGTCCTATAGGAACTTGCAGTCTAGTGGTTACTGTAGGGAAGAAATCTAGTATGGTTCCAGGTTGGACTGGGGATGAGTGAATGCTTTTTACAGACTTCTCTGGGTCATAAGACATGCTGGAGGAGTTAAAAAGTGCTTACTTGAAAATGCAATAGCTTATCCCAAAGAATGAGGAGGAAGAAGGCAGACATTAGTGAGAAAGGTAGGATATGGTCCAGGGAGAAGAAAAGCCGTGAGCAAGAGCAGGAAAAAAGATAAAATACAGTTCCTTAAAGATCCAAACAAGCCAATACTGAGTATAGGAAATACTGAATTTAGCATGAGTACAAATCAGGGCATTATGTACAAGATTGCAAACAACTTATCAATGCCCACACTGTGGTAGAAAATAATAGCATCTCTTCCAGTGCTTATAGCTCCCATGATCTCTGGGTGTGTGTGGAGGGGTGAGGCCTCATGAATCCCTTTTTCTCTCATGATGAAAAGGCAACAGATATACCCTTGTACAGCTCTTGTGCAGGTAACCTCTGCTGCAGCGAGCAAGGTCATGGGTGCAATGATTGTGTCATATATGGAAGAAAGGAATAAAAGAGGGCATATGAAAGGGTAAGGGAAGCCCCAAGCTCAGAATGTGTGTGTGTGTATGTGTGTGTGTGTGTGTGTGTGTGTGTGTGTGTGTGTGTGTGATTTTAAACCTAGTTTTTGAACTCAAAGTTTTAAACATAAAATAGGAAACAAAGTAAGAAGTAGTAGAAAGTAGGCTGGGAAATCTTGGTCAATAAGTGTCATATCTTGAAGTAACCAGGCACTGTTGTATAACTGGCAAAGAATAGTCAGTATTTTCTAAGAAAATTCACTCTAGCTATAGTATCCAGGATGGATTGGAGACAACTCCGAAGAGAAGCTCGCTATTGTCTATTTGCAGGAACAAAAAGAAGGCAGCCTAGATATTGTAGTCATGAGGGCACCTTCCAACAGTGGAATAGTTACGTGTTTATTTTACTTGTTTATTTTTATGCAGACTTATAGAGGAAGAATTGAAATTTCCATTCCAATGGAACCCCGCTGCTACCCTTGTGTTCCATGTGTGTGGGCAGGGGGTGTGGTGACTTTAAAGGGGTGTTTTTACATTCTCATCATCTTGCCTTTACCTCAGGCATGATGTTTGTCTAGAGGGACTGAAATGTAGATCATGTTACATCATCGTGAAATACTGGCATCTGTCACAGAGAACAGAGGAGGGTACTATGAGGATCCAGAGGAGGAAAAGACACAGAAGCATTTAAAAATATACCCAATTCTTCTTCTTTTTTAAATCAGCATTTCTAAGATCAATTCTGGAATACCTATACATTGGGTCATTTTACCTAAGGCTTTGATTCATTTGAGGAAAATGAAAACACCAATTGTAATTATCTCAGACAACTTGTGTGCTTACAGATCTCCTTAAAGTTCAGCACCATCTTGTCTGAAGAAGTTGAATTATGATGGAGTCAATACACCTGGAAGTGTATAGGTAGTGCTTTGATGGTCAGTTTTTTCTATAGTGTTGATTTTGACTTTCTCAGCGAGGAGCTGACATTTTACTGACAAAGACAAATAAAACTTACTAGTTACCATGCATTGAGTACTTGTTCCATGCAAAGCCCTGTCCTGAATGCCTCTGTGTTTACCTTTTCCTAAACCCTAAGCCCAGGTCTTCTCTAGGCCAGCACCCTGCTCTAGCTTTTCATAGCAATAGAAAAGGCTCAACCCTGCCGGGCATGGTGGCACAAACCTTTAATCACAGCACTCAGGAGGCAGACTCAGGCAATGTCTATGAGTTCAAGGCCAGCCTGGTTTACACAGAGAGCTCCAGGACAGCCACAGATGCACAGTGGTGAGACCCTGTCTCTAATCACATATCCATGCACTACCACCCTACCCAGAATGAAAAAGACTCAGCTGGGAGAAAATTGGGTTCAACAGTTGACAAAAATGAAACTACCTAGTGTGTTGGGGGAAGTGACCTAAACCTGTAGAACTTTGACACTAACTCTACTACTGTTCACCAAGTATAGCATTTAAGTGAGTAATCTGATACCTGAAATTCAGTTTCCTTGTCACTGAAATGATCAACAGAAGTCCTGCCCAGTGGGATTGCTGTACAAGTTGAATAAGAGCTAGTGTGTACCTGACACTACTTATATTAGTGTGTGGAAGAGCTTTATTTTAATACCAATAGATAATATCATCAGCATAATAGTATCTTAGGGGTAATATGAATTTTAGGGAGATCACAATGAAAACTGGACTGAAAAAAGCTTACTGAATATTGATTAATAGGTAAAAGTTGTAATGTCAGAATTTAGTATAATATCATAATATCCCCCTAAAACTATGTGGCTTCCCTGAAGCTCTCACAGATGTTGGTGGTCCCTGAATACTTCTTGTCAGGCTGCACACCCTCACTGGTTTCAACTTCCTTTCCCAGAACTATGGAGTCTGTTACCTTTCTCAGCCATCATAAGACTGTCAATAGTAGGAAGTCAAAAGCTTGGTAAGACAGGTGCGTGTGTGTGTGTGTGTGTGTGTGTGTGTGTGTGTGTGTGTGTGTGTGTGTATGTTTCTGCTTGTCTATCTGTCTGTGTGTTTATGTGATTGGTCATGGCAGCAAAAAGGTTAGACCAATATTTGTTAAGATATTTCACTGGAAAAAAGGAAAATTCTTGAAGTGTGAATGCAGCTGTTGGGCCTGGAGCCCTGGCACCTGTACAGCCATAGTGATTTGTATGTTGCCACAGAAAATACCAGGGCACTGACATTTCACTGAGGGGCAAGGAAGGGACTTCCCATGTAGTCTCTCTACCCTCAGATAATGAAGTTGCGAATACACAAACGTGTGTGGGATATCACCCCTAACTGCCCCCTTCTTTATTATGATCAAGAACTATCTTCTTAAGACTGAGAAGATGGCTAAGAATGGGTAAGAACATTTACTCTGAAGTTTTGAGGATCTGAGTTCGAATTCCCAGCACTGACATAAAAAACTGACCTGCATATGCATTCCTGTAATCACATCATTGGGGCCAGAGACAGAGACAGACAAGGCCTAGAAGCTCAAAGAGAGCAAGCTTCAAATTCAGTGAAAGTCCCTGTGTTCAGACAATAAGCCTGAGAGAGAGAAGATAGATGACAGCTGATGTACAGGTGTTGTAACATACAAACATGCAACACACACACACACACACACACACACACACACCACAGAACTACTTTAAGCAGACTTCATAAGAGTACATTACACAGACAAATGCTGATGGCATCCATTTAGGAAATCACCCTGCCAATGTCTCCACATACTCATCTCACTGAACCATGTATAAAACATTCATGCCCTGTTGCAATTCCATTTTTTAGGAAACTGAGATGTAGGCAGAACTACTCTAAACACTGCCCCTCATTGGTTGTGATGTTGGATTACTGGTGTCTACACTCTGGCAGTAAAGGAATTCTGTCTGTGAGCACTCTGCTTGCTACAACTGACAGCGAACGGACACTACATCCCTTTGTTGCATATTTAAATATCTCTTTCCTCACTCTACCCCTGAATCTGCTTTCCAGCTGGGACTTGGGGATGATTTTCCAGGTGTGGGACATTGAGACAAAGAAGACTCAATTCTGCCCTTGAAGGTCTCCAAGAATTTAACTAACTAAACACAGATAAAATCAGACACTCTGAAATCAGGCCAATCAGACATTAAATATTAGCTAGGCACTTTCCAGGGTGGGAGGGGCTGAACTCAGAGAGAAATCTGGGGGGCAAACTGGACAGGTCTTGCCAACTAAGAACGTCAAGTTAGGCTTAAAGTTATGCTTGTAGACAGCATGTAAATTGCTCTAAGTCTCAATTTCTTCACCCACTGAGGGGTTGAATATGCCATTTCTCACGAGCTCAGAGAATACTAAATTAAAAATTGGAGATAATGTTAGTAAATTGTATAGATGAACAGTTATGATAATGACTTATGTATACATGAAGGGACAGGTGTTATGGTCCCTGCCACCAATGCATTCTTTATGTGGATGAATGTACAGGAGTTTGGAAAGCAGAGCAGTAACAATAGCAAAACGGCCAGCATTTCTTTGAAAGTCTGCTACAGCATGCTATGCTTGAGGAACAAATAGGCTGAGCAGAAAGATAGACGGCGTTGGGAGAGGCAGTCAGAACCAGCGGTACTAACCACTGAAACTAGGACAGTGGCATGCACAGATGATTTCTAAACACCTACCTGCTCTCACGGCAGAAAAACAGGGAGAGGGCACAGGAACCAGGTATTATTTATAAGGGAGGTGGGGAAGCCTGAGCCAAGGCCATGGCAAGGAAATCCTGGGTTTGAGGTGTATTGACTAAGTTGACTACAGGAAGACTTGCTGTAAGTCTGGTGACCTGGGTTTCCTGTTGGCCACTGTCGTGTGTCAGAACGGGTGGAACCAGCTGTGGCAAGAGCCGATATAGAGTTCATAGGATTCGATGAGCTCAATGAGTAGTACATGAATAAAGCATGATTTGTAGCATGAAAATAATTAACACCTTAGTGGTTCTCAGCCTCCCTGATGCTGCAACCCTTTAACACAGTTCCTCAGGTTATGTTGACCCAAGGAAAATTACTTCTGTTGCTACTTTGTAACTGTAATTTTGCTTCTGTTATGAATTGTAATATGATTGTCTGTTTTCTGGTGGTCTTTTGGGAGTCTCCACGCACAGGTTGAAAACCACTGCTAGGGTCAAGACTATGCTGATGTGGAAATCACCCATCGGTCTTTGTTTTTTTGGTTGTGAGCCTAGCCTTTAATGGCTGAGCCATCTCTCCAGCCCAACATGGGCC